ATGAGATCATTTCATTGATGAAAAAAAGCTATTTGAATCGAAAACACATTAAAATAAGAATCATGTCAAAGTACAAAAAAAAATTTAAATGTCGAAAAAAATTTCATTCACGTAGGTTCGTGCTTTTAGCTTTTCAAATTGTTTTGATCATACAAGTAATATTTCTTAAAATTCATTTTCGTAAATAAGTGTATTCATTAGGCTGGAAAGAAGAAGCTGAAGCGTAAAAGAATTCCGAAACAACAATGACGGAAAAAAATCGCAAAAACTCGACTCAAAAACGCATTTCTTTTGTGAAATTTATTTGAGCTTGTCAAGTGTTCTGTCAAGATTATCAAGTCATTAATTCAAGCTTTAGGTGTGGTCGAAGAGGAAGTTCGTTTCAGGTGGAATTAAAATTAAAATTGAAGTGCGAGAAGTTGGTTTTAATAAAAATGACGTCATGATAATTGGGGTGAAATCAGGACAGGAAGCAAATGTGTAAAATATTTCACCTCAAGAAAAACACTTAATTAACAAACTGAGTTCTGGTTAGGTCAAACATAATTTGTCACGCAGAATGTAACTTAATCACCTAGATGACAAAGCATTTGATTTATTTTTTTTTGCACAGCTCATATTCATCCAGACTGGAATAAGTTTGGGACAAACAGAGAACATGTTTTTGTAACAAAAAGTTTGGGAAAAATCATTGAAACAATGAGTAATGGATGGAAATTAAACAAAATGAAGTATAAGTTGTCTAAGCTTTGCGTAAATGAGGAACCATATTTCAGAAATTGCAGTAGAATAAGAAAGATTTATGCTTATGTTAACCCTTTTTGACTTGGAAAAATTGCATTTGGTTTGGGGCTGCTCACACGGAATCTATGAAATCCCTAGATACAAAATTGCCATAGATATTCGATATTCTTGAAAGTGAGTGCTATAAAAAAAACTTTTGATCCTTTCCTACTCTTGATAGTAAAACGTCATTGATTCAACCTTTTTACAGCTTTGCATGATTTTTGAGCAGTAAATAGAATTATGGATATTGGTGTAGATTTTCTCAGAAAATATTCAAAGGATGTACTCGAAAAGTCTAAATATAAACATAATAAAAAGATTTCTTGAAAAGTTGAATTGCGAAGCTTTTGATCTCCAAAAGTATTCAGCAGAGAATCAAAGTTTTTTATTTTTAATAGTACAATAATTCAACATATTGTTCAAAATTTAAAAAGCATTTTCACGTTAAAGCAATTTTGGATTTTAATCAATCCTCCACAAAAAGAAACTCTCTAAAGTTCATCCTTCATGAATTAAAGTTGAATAAGTTGTGAAAATAAATACAATTGTGGGCTTCTAATGAAATATTCATGTTCGTTAGAACTCACTTCTGTAGTTCATTCCAAAAATACTTTATTATCTAAGAAAAGTTTGTTTTAACTTCAAGAAAATACTAAATCTGAATATAAATTATCTTCTTTGTAGTAAATAATTCTGAAATCTTTTATTTAAATGTTATTTTCTATTTAATGAAAGCTTGATGAAAGCTTGAATAAGGAATTAAAAGGACTTAAATGGTTCAGATTAGAAACTAAGACAATCTTCAAATATTCTTCAAACAAATATTAAAATGTCTTAACCCAAAAGAATTTAAAATTAAAAAAAAAAACACAACAATTTTATTTTTTCATTCAAGAACTTCGCATTAATCGACTAGGCGTAAAATTTTATTCAATTAAATCTTTTTTAAAAACTTGAAAACTCGTAAATATCCTTTGAAGAATAATTAAGATTTAATTGCGTTTTCAAAAATTGTTTTAAATTTCTGCGGAAGACTCTTTCAATTCTAATTCAATAAAAAGTAAGTGAAGCAAAAGACAAAAAAATTCAAGTCAATTTATAATTATTAAAAGCTTTTTCCTCCATCATATCGCAAGTAAAATCGTCTAATGAACATTTCCGAAAGTTTGTGTGTCAACAAGCCGTTCACATTTAATTACAAGTCTAAACCTAATATTTGGTTTAATGTGTATTTTGCTAAATTACCTCTTTATCGCTCTTCAAATTCGTATTAAGCGTTCGTAAATACAAAATTAATAGTTTGAATGTTTTGATGTAAAGTTTAAGAATCTTGAATCGTTCGTGAGTAAATACTTTAAATCTTTTATTGGTGCTGATGAAGAGTATTGCTTTGCGTAAAAGTGAATGCCCTTGAATAATTTGAAGGCAAAATAAATTTATTTAAGAAAATATTTCCTAATTAATTACATTTGAAAAGATGTTAAGGTTCACTTTTTATTGAATCTTCAGCGAAAGCTTTTATGATTATGATTATGATTATTATAGACTTTCTTTATTCATTACTTTTTATTAAACTTTTTTCTTTACATTTATGCAAAAAAGGTTTCGATGATTAGGACAAATTTACAAAGAACTGCAATCCGCCTTCATTATTATTTGTTTGAGTTAAAATTTCTTTTTTTATTATAAAAAAATGCTTTTTAAACATCCTGCTGTAAATGAATGAATTTTTTCCATTAAATCAATTGCTTCAGGGCTGTTTTCTTCTGAACAATGGTGTTCTTCAGATAAATACATCTTTTGTTTAATGTTGTTTGAGTTTGAAAATATTTCGGAAATTTCATATCATCGTAATATTGAGAAAAACATCGTATTGCTGCAAACATGTTATAAATAATGTTTATCGGATGTGTGGGAGCTATAGATTTTTATATTTAGCAAACGATGATTAGTAAATTAAATGTCATCAATATTTTTTAAATAATCAAGATTTTCTTGAATTAGAATTATCTAAAATAAGGATCTATTTTAATTGTATCTGATTGTTTAGAGTTAGGGTAATACAAAATACTAAGGTCAAAGTTTTAAAAATTGTCATGTTCAAATACAGATTAGCTGTTCCGATCAAAGTTTATTACAACAGTTTGTAAAACAAAAGATCAAAAACCGGATTCTTCGTATTTATGAGACTGTCAGTTTAATCTTATAATTCCCAAACAGCCTAACCTTATTCAAGCAATCTTTAGATTTGGCATTTTGCAAATTAAGTGACTCAAGAGACTGGCAAAGTTGTAAAAAATTTATAAAAAAGTGCTCATTTTAGCGCAATCCAACGGGGCTCTGGAGTGGCCATTCTTTAATTCATTATTCTAATATCTTAAGTTTATATTTCAAAGCTAAGCTTCTAAAGTTTATTCTGGGATATTAAAGTGCTCTAGGTAGCTCTATAAACCAGCTACTGACTCTTAGAAGAAGTTTTTTGATTAAAACTTTTTTAATTTTGATCATTTTTAATCATTATCGATATTGTGATTGATTCTAACAATTCTAATTTGCTGTATAGCTTAGCAAGCCATCAATTTCAGAATGTCAGAACTAGCTAGAAGCAGCTCGAAGAAAGATGTAAATTAAATTACCATTTTTTCTTGGTAAAAGGTTCTTCTAATCTGAACAATCCTCAATAGCCTCTAACAAGGATGTTTATGAGATATTCTAGAAAAAAAGGAACTGTCTATGGTAAACACTGAAATTGGGTGTATATATACAGCCAAGAAGAGTTTCATTGTGATGCGTTTTGTGTCCCGTTGTGGATACAAAAAATTATCTCGACATTCTGTAACTGCAAAGAAAACCAGAAATTTTCTCCTGCAGCTATTACAGAGATGAAAAAATTTCCGAACCTAAAATCTTCTTTTGGTGTCACTCATAAATTTTTCATTCCATTTTACGTACATCAGAAGCAGCACAGAAAGAAGAATGAATGCTTGCTTCATTACTCACAGAATGAACATAAATTTCCGAGTCTATTTTCTTCACCTCATTAAATATAATTGAAGAGAATCACACTATCTGATATTTAAATAATTGGATGCTTAAAAATTAATTTGCAGGATTCAGCAAATAAGAATCACGCGAAAAACGTATTCGGTCCATAAACAGATATTTTTGGCACTGTAATAATTTCAACGCTCAATAAATTTATATTACAAAGTGTTTTACGCTTACTTTGAGACTTTATGGCCTGTCCATTTTGCAGATGTTTTTCAAATATTTCATTGTTCTATAGTTTATATGTTTAGTTTCGTTGATAATTAACGATTTTTTTGTTGATTTGATTAAAAAAAAATAATATAATTTAGATAACAGCACAAAAAGTTATTATAAGAGGTTTTAGGTGCTTCCTTTAGTAAACAAATGAATAAACTGAAATGATACAATTGCAAATATCACCCGATTTGACCGGCGCAGCACAAATTTGATGGAAGTTCAGAACCAAACACAAGAAATTTACTGCTGAAAATTGTCAACTAATCAAAGCAAATAGGATTAAAATGCATGCAGACAGAATCGTTATAGAAGAATCATCAGAATCAATAGAAATTATGACTTTTTTGGAATTTTCCTTTAGAAAATTTATTTATTTTGTTTTTATGCAATAACAGATAAATCAGATTTTGATCAATTTAATCAGTTTCTTTAATTTAACGTAATTGACTTTATTGAGCTTTTATATGCCCAGAGTATTGACAAACATTTGAAAAATGACTAGTTTCTCAAAATCATATTTTCCAAAATTCATTTCAATTTTCAACACTTTAGTTAAGTTTAACTCAAATTGATTTAAATTACATCAATTGTGATTTTATCTGACTTTTCCAAAATTTTAAATGTTTTCGACAATTTTTATAATTTTGTTTAAAGCTTAAAACTTTGTAGCCACAGTTTCTTTAAATTTTTGACTAGTCTTAAAAAACTTCCTTTTGATTAAAATTCTTTATTTCTGAACAACTCAAAATATCTTTGTAAATGATTTTTTACAATCCTTCAATCCGATGAAAAACATAAGATTTCAAAATTATTATTTTGGTAGACAAATGTGTTCAAATATTTTATTTGATTCCCAAAAAACCAAAAATAACAGTTCTTGAAGAGAAGCATCTCATTGTGCTTTTGAATTCCCACTGTCACTAAAGATATTTTTTATGACAACAAACCTTCAAAAAATTCGTGTCGCTCCAAATTCTTTCAAAAAATCCTTGTCACTTTTTTTCCTGAGAAATTATTTCACACAAAATTGTCACGCGTTTCTAAGAATTTTTTTTTGCTAATTTTTGCGTCACTAAAATTAACATTAATTCATTTCACAGTTTGTAAAAATATCAATAAATTTTCCTGTTTTTCTTCTCAATGAATTTTTCACACTTTTCAATTTTTTTTCGTGTTTTTCCAATGAAAATAAATTCAATGAATCATAAAAATTAAATTAAGATTTTTCATCCACAATCTGACATGTATGCCGGTATTTATATTTTATATCCTTGCTCACGTCTTAATCGTCCGACTGTTACAACTGCAGTGATCTTGAGATTGAAAGCAAAAATTTCATCGTCAGAACTTCTCACAACAGTCGAGTTGTAGCGAATGAAATCGAAAGTGTGCGTACACATTTACTCTAGCTGAGAGGCGAAGAAAATGAGAGGAGACAGTCGGAGATGGGTTGAGAGAAAATTTACAAGCCATGAGAGAGAGTCCTTGCTTACTCAACAAATGTTTTTATCGTGAAACGTGAAAAGTTTGTCGGAAAGAATAGAAAATGTTTTAAAAAGTTTTGCATTTTAAGGGCATGCTGAGAAGAAAGTGAAAGAGGAAAAAGGGCAATGACAAAAATTACATTAGCTCTCATTTGATTACAGACAATCTTTATGTCCTATTGTTTTGCAATTTTCTAGCTCGTTGTTCATAAATGACGTTGAATTTCTTAATGAAGAGTTTTGGTTTTAGATATTTAAGTTGAATAAGCTTCTGTGGAAGCTACAATGTTATTAATGGTCAAGAGCTTCTCTGGATTAGATTTTAGTGTAGCTTTCCCACCTTTGTTTTATTATAAACAATGTAATTGACATCATTTTTGGATGTCATTTAAGGTTATTTCCGAAGGTAAAATTAATCTAATGAAGGTTGATTATTTCCCTTTTCTTTTATCTTCTTTTTTCCATCTTCAAGCTAATTTTGATCATGTTTAATGTTCAACTGATATTCAGAAAAAAGGTAAAAGTAACGTCGTTTATAAAAAGCCACACTATGATTCGACTGCGAATTTTTTGTTCTTGAGAAAAGATTAATACGAAGAAGTTGCGTGCTTTTTTACATTCTTAAAAATAAGCTTTCCATTGCTTTCTTCAAATTTTTGCCGTAAGATATTTTTTTAAAAATACAAAGTAATGCTTCAAATTGATAAGGTTATATGTTTCCGCTTCTCAAAATATAATAAAAGCTCTTTTAGCGTTACAAATTCTCGCAAAATAATACGTCAGATTTGTACATTAACGAGATTAAAACCGAAACCATAAATAGATATGAAGGAGTGTTGCTTTGTTAATTCGAATCAGTAATTAAGATGTCCAGACGTATAATTAAGGTGCCGTTAAGTGGACTTTCAACTCTTCATCTCAAAATAAGATTCTGATTCATATTCGTTTGTTCTTTGTAATTCTTAAAGCTTACCTTCAAGTTTGTTCATAAATGATATCTATCATTAACATTTAGTTTTTTTGAACAATTGTCTGACTTAAACTTCCTCGAATTTACTAAATTACTAAGAATTCTAAATATCTGGTGTAAATCATAAGCATAAATATTACATCATAAATGAATGAATCCTTTGAAGACAGTCATTATAAATTGAGGTGAATGTACTGAGAATTTTTAAAACTTATTAAATTTATTGAAACGATTCCGTTATTAAACGTTATATTTTCATCAATTAACATTCAATATCTGACAATTAAAATATTGTTCAAAGTTCAACAACACTTTAGAGGTTGATGAAATTTTAAAGACAGTGTTGCGTTATCTTAAAGTAATTATCTTGAAATTTAGATCAGGATCAACGATTTGGCATAGTTTGATGTTCAAAATGATAAGTGCGTTTTTCAAAAAGTCTAATTAAGTTTAATTTGATCATTACTAAAATTAATATCGACAATTTTGATTGTTTTGGGATTTTCCCTCGTTAAACTTGTTTAAAAAGCCAAATATTATCAACATTAAATGCTTTGTTACTCGTTCGACAATTTTAACTCTAAAATATATAGTTTGAGATTAATCCAATCTGAATTGACAACACTGTTCTTGATTACCAATTAAAAATACAATTGTGTAAATTAACTTGTTGATTCTGAGTTGCTTAGTAATTAAAAAGGATTTTCCTTCAAAAGAATTCTGTTTAAAAAAGAGTTTACCAAAAACAAAATACATATAAAGAACAACAAAGAAGAATTGTAGAATGAAGAAGTTATAAAAAATTGTCTGAAATGTTGTTTTTTTTATCTTAATGTCTTTTATATGGTTTGGATTCTTTCAGCGGAATAAGCTTCTTTATAAGCATGTTCCATTTATCATAAATCAAATTTGAGCTAGTCATAATCCGAGGAGCTAGTTATAAATGTTTCTTTGAGAATGTTGTTAATCCTTCATCTTTTTCACGACATGACTAAAGGCTGACAGCGAATCAATCAATAATCCTAGGATTAATAAAAAAAAATCTTTTGCAAACTTTTCATTTACAGAATATAAAGTAGGACATTATTTTGAGCTGTTGCTATCATTAATGACAAAACTTTTTGTAGAATTTAAGTTTTCTTCATATTTGTCATGATGCTTTTTGATCATTTTTGAAATGTTTTTGAAACAGACTAATGGGAAATGCTTAATATTTGAGCTTTATTTTAATATCATTGAAATTGAGACATCAGAGATTCTGAGCTTAAGCACCCACAATGATTGATATTCAATTCATCCTTAGAGTGTAGTTGCGGTTTTATTACAAAACTTGTTACAAGGTCAAATTGATCACTAGAGACACACGAATAATGATAATTTGATCAAAAAAAAATTAAGGATTCTTCTTTCAAAAATGTCAAGAGTCTCAATTTTGTGGCATTTTTTTAAAGATTGGTTTGGCGTGCTATGAAAAAGTGTGAGGGTATTATTTTTTTATCTAAAGCTTGAGTTTTTCAAAAATGGGACTATTTAAAGGATTTAACCTCTTATTTTATATCATTACTAGACACTTGAATAAGATTCATGTTACAAAAAGTTCAAATCAAACCCAAATATCCATTCCAAGAACTAATTAAACAAAAAGCAAAATATTACATTTCATTTCTTTAAATTTATTCCAAATTTGTTAAATAATATGTTTTTAATCCTCTTACATAAAATTTGAGGAAAAAATAAGTATCACATAAAGGATTTCTGGGTATTAATATGTGATGTTTATTTTGTGATGATAAAAAATACTCTCGCATGCTTAATTTTTGAGAAATGTTTCTTGTTTTGATTGTAAAGATTACACAATCGAGAAACTGAAAGAATAAAAACTGTAAACAAAACATTATGTAAATTTTTTAATAATATGCACAAGAAGTTTCTTTTTTGTTTGTCCTGACATTACAAAAACTCAAAAGTTCAACTTTTATTCTTGAAAAAACGGTTTTGTAAGATTTCTTTAGTGGTAAAGAATAAGTTTAAGGTTAAAAAATCCTTACAAATTGAATAATTTTTTGAAAAATAAATTTTTTATTTCAAATATTCTAACTTGTTTAATGCTCCTCGAAAAAAAATCTATGAAAAATTATAAATTTATAATCTAACGTCTGTATTCCATTTGCAGATCAAAGAATGATCGCTGTTTTTAAGGGTTTTCTATTTTTTGTCTATTCTTGACATCAATCACATAAATATTTCAACGATATCTTTTGCTATTTATAAGAGTAATTGAATAAAATTGGATCTATGTAAATGCCGCTACAAGATTAAAATTAGTTTATTTATCCTAATAAAATCAGAAAGCTACACGATTTTTATCAATACTGCAATAAAGCATGGATTTTTCTTCTATTCTCTTTAAATTCCATTATTAACCAAAATATTTACAAAGTATAGAATTATCTACAGACACGTTTAGAAGAAAAGAATAAAACGAGTTTTTCCCATAACTTTAATTCGAATTTTCATCGGATGCGTTGATTATTCTTAAATCTGTAAAGAAATTTAAGTTGAAATTCACAAAAGGTTTTTGACAAAATTCAATTGCATTAAGATTCTTAATCATTAAATTTTCATTCTTAAAAACCTCAAATATTTAAACAATCTTGTTGTAATAAGATCATTTTTTTAATTTTAAGATTAATGCTATATATTAGCTAAAGTAAAAAAAATCTTGTACTCGTGTATCTAATTGACTAAGGTCAAACTGCGAAAGTTCTAATTTTGGATGTACATTTTATACATTAATCAAACGAAAGTTTCTCTAACCTTTCCACCAGCCATAGATAATCCATCACAATGAAAGAAGAAATTATTTTAATAATTCATGTAGTTAAAGTGTATGAAACGGAATATAATTCAATGATTATTTTATTCATCATTCATGAAGTCATTCTTGCCGAAATTTCTAATCAAATGATTATTTATTATTTCATCTACTGCATAATCATACTAAGTTATCATTACACATTAGAATTTTATTCATCATACACTGTTAGGACTATTAGATACCTCTGGTTACCTCTGTTGCATAATTTCCCGATAAGTCATTTAAAACCTTTGAAGAAATGACTAATTTGATCAATTGCTCTTCCACGTGCTTTATTTGCCATTGATCTATCAAACTGTATTTTCATTTGACATTCATTTATTAAGTCCATACATGAATGAGATGAGTTGTTTTGGCGATTATTAATAAAATCTCTGGTTTAAGGTCCTTTTTCTCGAAGTCTTTTAATTTTAACACAAATTGCAATAATCGTACTTAAAACAATACGAAACTAGATTCCAAACCTCATCAAGCATAACATCCTATTGAGATTGTCATACCGACAAAAATGGATATCAAAATTGAAGCAACGAATGTTGTTAAATGAATTCATCAAATCATGAACCTATGAACTGCAAGCTTGCCTTAACATTGAACGTTTTGGATGATAATCTTAAGAAAAAATAGATACAGATTGTGGGTGTACACGTGTACATTGCTATTAAGCACATTCGTGGAAACATTTAAGTGAACATCTGATTTGATGAAATGATGCAATTTAAGGTGAAGAAAATCAGAATTTTTCAGCAGATCTAAAAAAATAAGCATGTATTTATGGAAAATGTAAGAGAATATTTTATTTTTCTTTGGAACAATATGAAAAGGGAGGACAAGATAAGGGGCCGTTCACTTATTACGTTACGCAAAATACTTTTTTCACCCCACCCCCCCCCCCTGTTACAATATGTTACAACTCACCCCCCCCCCCCCCGTGAACGTTCATAATTTTTTTTATTTTGATAATTTTTCATAAATCATTAAAAAGGTGGAAAATGTTTTTGGTGTGAATTTGTAAACAAATTTTTTTCGTATT